TTTCCTGAAATTGTCTGTCTTGCCCCCATGCCATTACCTACTTGCTCTCATCCACCTGGAAAGCTCATCCTGATACCCAACTTGTGGTCAAAATCCTCATGTCCCTATTTCATGAAGTCCTGCCTAATCCTCTGTCAGAAGGAATTTCTTCTTCTGCACTCCCTCAATATGTTCTTGTCCTAAATCCTTTTGTGGTACTTAGTAATTTCCACTGTGTATTATGGCAATGTGTGTATCTGTCGTAAAACCCCACTCACTCTGAATAACCTGGAGGGAGATACTGAGTCCTACTCATGTTTTTCTTGCATATTAGAACACTGAGCTCTGTTCGTTGTACAGAGCCAATATTCAACATTTGCTCATTCAATTAAAAATGCATTTATTAAGTACTTACTATGCATCACAAACAGGTACTGGAAACATAAATAATGAAGACACTGAGAATAGTGTATGAATAAATAAGTGAATGGATCAATGACAGATGAAAATGTGATTCTATTTCAGTGTAGATCCACACTATATTCCAGTCATTATTTTCTCTTAATCCTACAAGTGTCTGGAGACGTTTCCTGGAAAAGGGAATAAGACTAGGTTAATGACTTGCAATATCAAAATTCTCGTATAATTATAAATTACACTAAAAGACCATACATGGTCTCTGTTTTACAGAGTAGAATATGTGAATCAGAGAAGTGAATGCAATTTTCATAAAGTTGAGCTATTTTAAAGGCACTAGAGGAGTATTCTGTTGTAAAGAGCCCCAAGGGTGAATCTTTTAGACAGTAACTATTCATCTCATACACATTTCTTTGTAAATTCAGTTCCCACAAAACGGACTGTTGTAAAGAGTTTATGTATCAGAGATGCTGGAATAAATGACCTTGGACTTCTGTGCAATTGTGAGATTTTGAATCTCTGGTTCCAGGAGAGACATCTGGGAAGAAGGAAGAAGGAAACATGAATAAAAGCAGAGAACAATCAAAGGCAGCAGTAATAATCTTTGTTCGAAAATAGCCATAAAGTCCAGGGGAGGAATAGTTGCCAAACATATGAAAACAAGTTGAAAGATTGGATGGTGAAAGCCAGGAGAGTTACCAAACACCTCAGAAGCTCCTTCCAGACAGACCCTTGTATGCCTTAACTGCCCAGATTAGATTGGTCCAGCTATGAATGTGTAAGCTTAATGCGTCCCCCATTTGGGCATCATCCCCATGTAGGGAAGGATTATTTAAAAGGGGTGTAAAAAACACAACAGAGCATTTCTAAGTGAAATTCCATAGTAACAGGGATCGACTTTGAAATACTCCAAAGAAACAGTTTCAGTTCAGCATGGGGAGAGGGATAAATGAAATAAATGGGTAATTGTTGAAACTGAGTGCTATGAATGTAGGAGTTTATTATTTATTATTTTTTTATTTGGGAGGAAATTCATTATTTTATACTCTCTACTTATATTCTTGCTTGAGAATCTTCCAAATAAAACGTTAAAAGAAAACACAACTGAGCAAAGGGATCTCAGGAAGGAAATCAAAGATTTCAAGCCAGCCCCAAATTTTGGTCTCATGAAGTTCTCTTCTTCTTCTTTCAATATAAGGTCTTATGCTGAGTGTGGTATTTGCTGCTCGGTGTACCCACTGAAGTGCCATGTCATGGACAAGTTTAGCGTGTCTGGAAGTCTCGTTTCCACAGGATAGACATGCGTATGCTCTTGGCATGTGGTTTTAGCATCAGCTTGTGAAGGCATTTCTTTTCCCAGGAGGGGTGGCCCAACTCATCCATGTAGTCTGCCAACGTGGATGCAGATGATGAAGGTGAAATGTGAATGTGCTATGTTCACTTGAGGGGAGCAGAGTCAAACTTCTGGGATGACAGGATCAGATAAGAATGCCAAGTTGCCAGTCTCTACATGTGACACTGGAGCTCAAGGCCCATCTCTGGGCAGGAAACCTGAGGGCTCCACCTACTTAAAAGGGGCAAAACAGCCTATATCGATTTGTTTGTATGATTGTTTAATATGAGTAGTCTTACCACGAGGCTCTGAGTTCCTTGAGATCTGGGAATTTTTTTTTTTCAGTTTTGCCTAAGGTCTAAATGCAAGAGCTGCATAAATGTTTGCTGAAGTAAAGTGGAATTGAAGACTGACAATATGATTATTAAAACACACCCAAGGACTTAGCTTGCCCAGCCCCTCGATTCAGGTTCACTCAGATTCACTCCCCTCCTCTCTGTCCTTCCCATAAGGGGTAATTAATAATTCAACAAACAATAGTGTATTCTGATGGTTAAGAATATAACAATTTAATTGATATTTGTTTCTGTAGCTACGCAAATCTCATTTACCCAGGAGGTCAGTTTTCCATTTCCGTTCCAGGTTTCTCCCAATAAATAGATCAATTCTGTGGGTGCCTGAAGGCCATTTGTTAAGAAAGAAAGAATATGGGCAATGGGTTTATAATAGACACAATACTGTAATCATGTTTTAAACACTGACATTTATTTAGGGTTTTGTGAACTCATACATTATGAGGATAAATTCTAATTTATATCAGTATAGAATAGGCAAATATATAATACCATAAATTGCATTTGTACACATAAATACAAAATTTGAGGTAGGGCCTCAAGAATAATGACTTCTTAAATGAATAATGCACAGTATATAATATGTACTCTATAAGATATATATATATATATGATGCATCATTTGTGACATATTTTCTTCATGTACAGTTAATGAAAAAATATAAGGACTTGGTTAGGGAACATATCTTTATTCATAGGCAACAGTACCACATAAGAAGCCAATATTTAGGACATTAGCCAAGTATATAATTTAAGAATAAACCTATTCCATGATAGGTCCATAATAAAGTGCAAAAAAATACCAAAAAATGAGAGACAAAACAGCTCCTAGTCAATTACTAAGTATCATCCTAACAATAAAATACACCTATAAGGCAAATGGTTACCTGAAGATGTATTTAATTCATGGCAGGCAAATCAAACCACTGCTTGCTTTTCAAAAGTGATCAATGCCCAATCTGAAAACACTTTCTCTTTGGCTGCAGGTTGCTCAGAGGTGACTGAGCAAAGACCATAATTCAAAATTACTTGGCCTTTCTCTATAATTGAAGTAAAATCTGGGAAAGATAGGAAGTTTCACTTTTACAAATCCTAGGGCTACTTTGGGGAGAAATTAGTACCAGGATTAAATCACCTAAACCTTTGCTCCCAGCCTGGAAGTTTTCTTCATGATACCCAGTGTGAAATAGAAGAAATGCTCATTCATTGACCTTGAACTTCTTTCCCTGCAAGACAACCTGCCACACAGCATGCCCTCACTCGAGTCATCTCCCTTAAAGAAGCGTGTCACAAACCCAAATCCAGGTGCGACAGCAGCGGTATTATGATCTTGCCATCACGCATACGTTAAGCAATAGTTATTGTGCAAGTCTCTGGGAAGAGAACAATGACCAATGGCCAAGGGAACAAAGAGGAAAGAAAAAAATCTTAGTTTCAGGCATGGGAAAACCATGCTGACAGGTGAAGGTTGTCAGGAAGCACTGAGGCACATGTAGATAATAGAATAAGGGCTTTTAAAGGACAACTCAACTCTGACGCAGCAGTAGCACAAAGGCTACCCAAGTCTTACCCATTTAAAGGTCATTATGTCCTTTTAAAGTGCCGCTCACCGAACTACAAGTTGATTATATTTCTCACATATTAAAAACACATTGGAAATTTCAAAGACTTTGAGGTCATCAAGATTTTGCATTGACCACAGATTTCATGCAATAAATATAAAGGAAAGAGAAAAAAAAAGACCAGATTGGACACATTTATACAAGACACATAGCCCTAAAGAGATTAAGCTACTAATATGCAAGACAAATATTTGCATAAGAAGCCACACCAACAGTTGAGAAATATACATTTTTTTCCTCCTTTAAGGATATTACAGGGTTACTGTTTTTAACATATGGCTTTTTTTTTTTTTTTTTACTCAGAATAGGTTTCTGGCATTTGTTGGTGTTAGAAAATAGTCTCGCAAGTGGAAAATACCCACCTCCCCCATTCTGCACAGTGAACCAAAGAAAGTCCTTCCTCGGCATCTCGGTTTTTTCCGGTTTAAAGGAGAATTCTCAAGTGGCGGTTTATGACAATGCTGTTCATTTTCTTTTTATGAATTCATTTTTTTCTCTTCCAATTGACTGTGTATTTTAACACAGCATGGAAACATCCATCTGGTAATAGGCATCTCAGCTCTCAGCGTCCCAGCTAAGTGTATGGGAGGTGAGGAATGGGTAAATTTACCATGACTGGAAATAGCTCAGATACCGAACACATCTGTCGCAAAGAAAGCCTCAAAGTTGAACATGACTATAGAAAGAGGCAAAACTAAATTTATAAGGTAACTGTTTTCAGATAAGTTCAGAACCTTTCACCTTTAAGGAAATTATATGTAAAAC